TGGGGTGAAGTTGCTGACTCCTTAAAATGATTCTTAAAAGCATGGTCAGGGAACTGGAGAGATGGCTCAGTGTTTATGAGCACTCTTCCAGAGGAACAGGGTTCAAGTCTCAGTACCCACCTGACTGCTCACAGCTGTGGGTAATTCCAGTTCCAGGGAGTCTGATGTTCTTTTCTGGTCTCTGGGCACCAGGCATGTAAATGCTGCTCAGAGATACATGTAGGCAAAACATTTATACACATAAAACAATAAACAACAACAACAACAACAACAACAAAAAACTACCCCTCCACACAAAAGAATAACATGGTCAGTGTCTGAACATAGTCCAGAAATGGAGTCATGGGAGGGAATTTTTGAGTGCTTGTGAGAAAACTCCAGGAAAACAAGACATGAGCCTTGTGACCTCCGTTTCTTCAAAACATAATTTTTCTTGGAATGTGTTTTCATGCTCCTCCCAGGTGTAGTAGATAGTTTACTTCAGCTGTTGTATTCATGTGCCTTCAGAGTATAAACTGCCCGATGCTCTGATAGTTTGCTATGGCATGAGACTTCTGACCATCTCATTTTCAGGTCCCGCTCTCGCTCTCCCAGGTTCACACTGCCAGTGGGGGTGGTAAGCAGGTCAGGGTACAGGTGAAGCAGTATTGCAGAATGCATTTCATGTCAAAGGTGCTCTTGGGTCATTTTTTTCTATTTAATACATGCAAGCACCTTGATATCTTAAACCTTTCTATCAGATTAATCTTTTAGTAGTCTGTAAATTTTTATGTCACTAGGCTTGTGCTGAGCCATCTCAATGGCTCCACTTTTTAATTAAAAAATATTTTCAAACATTTATGTATTAGGAGTATGTGTGTGCGCGCAGCCAGAGGACAACTTAGAGGAGCTGGTTCACTCTCCGGAGCACGTAGGTTCCAGAGATCCATCTCAGGTTGTCAGGACAGCATGCAAACACCTTTTACCCAGTGAGCCATCTTGCCAGCCCCACTTTTTATTTTTTGAGATGGGCTCTCTCAGTGAACCCGAAGCTCCTTGATGCAGTCATGCTGGATGAACAAAGGCCTCCAGGGACCCACCTGTCTCCATCCCACCAGGGCGGGTGTGACAGCTTCCATTACCACCCCAGCTTTTTGTATGAGTTCTGGGGATCTCAATTCATATGCTCACGCTTGGAGAGAGCCACTCTACAGACGGAGCATTCTTCCCAGCCCTGATTACTCTTATTGCTTAGGATGATCCTAAGTGATTCTCCTGCCTCGGCTTGCTGATAGTGTGGACTATTGGTTGTACCCACACCTCTTGCCTTCAAATCCCAACAACAGTGATTGAGATAGCCAGGGTAAAAGTCTTACAACCAGGCTAAGTAATCTCACCAGTTACGTTGGAGGAAAACTTAGTCTCTCTTTCACACACAAACAGGACAAATTTACCCGGAAAATGGTATGTACCTATATGAAATATAAGCATTCTATATTGGAACATAAAATATTACAAAACAAAATGTAAACCATCTTTTATAAAACAGATTTTAATAACTTAATCCTAAAACAGGAAATTTATGTTAAGTATTATGTTGATAAAGAAGTTTGCTTTGCGCCTTGGGATTTAACTTCTGTATTTGTGTAACTTTCAGGTCACGTGAGAGCATTGTAAATTTGTTTTAAGGACTATCTACTAGTGCATTCCACAAATTTAGCCCAAAAGCATTTCAGCCACTCTGAATTTGGCTATACTTTTAAATTCACTAACTTTTTTTTTCTCAATGGTGCAGGTCAAGCTCAGGTCTTTGCAAATGGTAGGCAAGGGTTCTAGCACTGAGTCAGCCAGATGCTTGTCTCCCTAATGTGGAGGTCAGAAGTGACGGGGAGGTGTCTTCAACTGCTCTCCACCTACGGGGACAGATCCCTTACTGAACCTGGAGCACACTGATTAGGTTTGATGGGCTGGCCAGCAAAGTCCGTGGATCCCACAATCTCGGTTTCCCGCACCGGGATTACAGGCACCTGATGCCATGGTTGACTTTTTATTTGGGTGCCAGGAGCCAAAAACAAGATTGCACGTGTGTATCACAAGCAACATGTTGACCAAGCCACCTCGGCACTTCCATGTTTTCACTTTTTAAAGAAAGAGGGCTCTGTCTATGTTGTCCTGGCTGGCCCTAAACAATGGGGGCCGAGTGGTCTTTTTGCCTCTGTCCCCCAAATAGCTGAGGCAACCCTGCTTCCAGAAAAAAAGAATTTACTATGTTTCTGAACTGTATGATCCAGTAAATGAGTCATTCAAATGAATACATACCTACTTTAAGTCAGTAAAAGTAATGTATAAGATTGAGAAATTAATGTGCCCACAGAATTTCTGCAAAAAAGCTAAAAGACTAGAATTCTCAATAGTTTTTCCTGATTACAGTTTGCCATTAGTAATTCAATTTTGCTTACAAATTGGTTTAAAAAGACACACTTTTAGCTCTCAAATTCGATAGGAGAGTTGCCTGACAATAGGCACCAACATTTTTGTTTTTGGCTAAAGGTATTTATAAATGCTTGGCATATTTGTTATTAGTAAGACAGGGGTATTTTCAAAACAAAGTATTTATCGACTGTTACAGAATAATCCATGGTGATCAGAGGACATTACAATTTCAGATTTGCTGACAATCCAACAGAGGCCCTGGTAGTGTCCACAGTGTTCAGCAGGGTCCTAAACACTAACTTCCAAAATCCCAAATCAGGACAGGGGGGATCAAGGAAATGATTTTCCTTACCAAAACAACGATGGCATTATGATTATAGATTTTATTCTAGTGTTTTGATGAGGCCCAAACTGTGAAGCTGAATCCCGTTTTGGGTCGCACGAAATGACTAAATTTCTCCAGTATTCTGCTTGAAAAACACAGCTCTACTGTCGGAGGAGTGAGACTTCGGTGACTCCTCACAGTAAGGAACATGGCCAGCTCATTTCTAAATGGAAACTCCCAAGTGCCACAGCACATCAATCATCTGACATATAATCCGACTTTTACTGAGCTGGAATGTTCTGTAAAGGTCAGGTCTTTGGATGAAGAACGCCAGTTTAGTGGGTTATGCAGCAGAAATGCCTAAATCTGGAGCAGCGCTTGAGCGCTGAAGAAACAGCTTCTCTTCAAATAGCAGGGAAGAAAGAACAGAGCATTTCTAAGCTGAAAGTCTTTTGCTTAATCGCATTTCCTAATGATCCTACCTGTATCTCATTAAAAGTAAGATAAGGAGCTGGGCGGTGGTGGTGCACGCCTTTAATTCCAGCACTCGGGAGGCAGAGCCAGGCGGATCTCTGTGAGTTTGAGGCCAGCCTGGTCTACAAAGCGAGTTCCAGGAAAGGCGCAAAGCTACACAGAGAAACCCTGTCTCAAAAAACCAAAAAAAAAAAAGAAAAAAGTAAGATAAGGAAATATGGCTGCACATAGTATCATATTCGTCTACTTTCACAGGTGTGCTAGGGAGTCCAGAAACACTATCAGGCCTATATTTGAGAAAACTGGAGAAATGCTACATTCCAGGTTGGAAAAAAAATCTAGATTTTTGGCTTAAGAAATTGGAATCTTTCAGTAATTACTTTTTCAATAAAGGATCTTGCCATGCACTCCAGGCTGGCCTCTGGTTTATGGCGTTCCTCTTTCATCGAGGATTAGACGTGAGCCACCACACCTGCTTTCTACATATAGAAAGGAGGCCAAGCTAGGCCTGGTAGTGATACATGATCATAATCCCAGTACTTAGGGGACAGTGGCGGAGAAAGGAAGATCACAAGTTCAAGACTGGCCCGGGTATGTAAAGAGTTCCAGGCCAGCTCAGGCTGCATCTGACTCCACCTCCACAGAGTTAAAACCGCCAGAAAGTGGGCCGGAGCGATAATTCCCCTTCTATCTGTCCACATTCTCTTTATTTTGCCATCCCTTCCACTCCCAAATGCCTTCTATCCACATTCCCGTGCCGGCCCCGCAGTTTATGAAAGTGAAGCAACGAGGCATTCTTTTTTCAGATAGGCAAATCTTTTTGTGAGGGTGGGACCAGAAACTGCGGCTTCCAAACAGTCCTAAACCTGCTAGACTGTAAGGATCTGATCCTAATCTACTTTTTCAGAATGCCCCAAAGCGAGGAACTAAGAATTTTGATGCTCCCGGCCAACTACCTGCCAGCTGCGTGACCTTGGGCGACTGAGTTTTCCCAGGCAACAGCGATTCGTGATCTTTAAAAATGGTCTAATACCTGTTCTGAACACAATCGCACGGCTCCCACATTGCAGAAAGTGGGCTTTCAAAGCTCTCTCCTAAGTAATTCTTAAACCGCAGAACGCTTCCGAGTGCAAACATCCGGTACAGTGCGAGGACACCTGGGCTTTGCAAGTCGCCTTACGGGAACCTGCGAGCTCCGCGTTGCTCCTCCGCCCACGCTCCGGGGCGCCCGGAAAACCGATTCTCTCGGGAAGAGAGTCTGGAAAACTGGAGGCGACGCGAAACGGGAAGTTTCCGCGAGTGGGCCAAGCTGCTGGCGGCATTTCAAGACCCCCAAAGCGACACACACATACACACAATTCCCACCCGAGCAGCCCCGCCGACCCGCGCTAGGACCACCACCGGCTAATAACGGGGACCCGGGGACTCCACTCCTGGCCCCAGCCCCCCCCCCGCCCCCCACCACGATGTCCCCACCGTCCCTCTTCCACGTGACACGGGCCGGAACCGTCACTTCCGGCGGCGCGGGCAGCGCGCCTGCGCGAGGCGCCCGGCTCTGCAAGAGGCTGGCACCGGCGCCGCACCCCCCACCCCTCGGCTGCCGCAAGAGGCGGGCGGCGTCGGTCCGAGCCGGGGGCGCCGGCGGGCTGCGGTCTCCAGGGTGCGCAGGCCGCGAGGCCGGGCCGCCACGCCCACCTCGGCCGGCCCCTCCCTCTTCCCCCGGCCGCTCGCGCCCCGCGCGCCGGGCCCCGCCCCCGGCCCCGCCCCGGCCCCGCCCTCCCCGCCGCGCTCTGCGGGCGCCGGGCAGCTGCAGCGGGCGGCCGGGGCTGCGCGCTCGGGACGCGCGGAATGTGAGGCGCGGCGAGCCGCTGCGCACCGACGCTCCCTCGCTCGCTCGTTGCTCGCTCGCTCGCTCGCTCCCTCGCTCTCCTCTGGCTCGCTCTCCTCTGGCTCGCGCGCGCGAAGGGCGGCGACCCCTTGGCGGACGGTCGGCCGCGCCCCGCGCTCCGTGTCGCGCGGGTCCCGGGGGGCTCTTCGCCCCCGCGCGCGCCCTTGTGCCCTCCCGGTGCCCTCCAGCGCGCGCCGGCGGGACCATGAAGAAGTTCTCTCGGATGCCCAAGTCGGAGGGCAGCGGCGGCGGCGGCGGCGGCGGCGGCGGCGGCGGGGCGGCGGCTGGCGGGGCCGCGGGCGCCGGGCTCGGCGGCGGCGGCGGCGGCTTCGCAGGCTCGTCCGTGGGGGTCCGGGTGTTCGCCGTCGGCCGCTACCAGGTCACCCTGGAGGAGTCGCTGGCCGAAGGTACGGGCGACGGGCGCGGCGGGAGGCAGGTGAGGGAGGCCGGGGTGTGGCGGTGACTGAGGGGGGCCGAGCCCGGGCGGGTGGAGAGCGGCTCGGGCTCGAAGCCGCTGGCGGCCCCGGTGCGGGCACGGTTGTCCGCTCAGGAGTTGGAGATCGGTTTTCTCTGTTCTGGCTGGCGCGAGGAGAGACATAGAGAAGACGTCCCAGTAAGTGATGTGGTGTCATGGTTGGACCCAGGACTCACTAGAGGGTCAGCCGGAGCAGTGTCGGAGCCTGCTGGGCCAGCTGTGGCTCTGGCCGCTGTCCTGCGTCGCTCTGGGGTCCGAGCCTCCCCGACACGCAGGGCAGTGGATCCCGCCCGCAGCCGCTGCGCTCGGGCTGGGGTTTGTTTCTGGTGAAAAAAACAAAAACCCCAACAAAACAGGACTTCCAAACCCCTGGGTGTGTGACTGTGTGCATGCAGATAACCTGTATGTGTGTGTGTGTGTGTGTGTGTGTGTGTGTGTGTGTGTGTGTGTGTGTTGGCATCGTCTCCGAATTCAGTTAAGTGGTTGCTTGGGGCGGAGGTGGGGGGAGTAAACTTGAAGTGCGTTTATCTGTGTTGTTTAGAATCTTCTCCCTGGGACCAGGTCCTGTTTTTGTCCGCCCAGTGTGCCGTTTTGTTAGTAGTTTAAAAGGCGAAGTGGTCCATACAGTTTAACTGTCTCTTGTGAGGTTTTCGGTGGCTCTTTCATTGTCTGACAGAGGCTATGACAGCAGGTAAAAGTCTAGTTACACAAAAAGTTGACTCCATGTTAAAAAAAAAAAAAGCTAGACTTTAGTTTTGTATTTCTGGTGTGAATGGCTTGTAGAAAATACTTTCTGATTTCTTATTGCGTGTATCGACTTTGAAGTTTTGAGTGCAGGGAATTAAGAACTACGTTGAAAAATCCATGAGAAATATTTCTTGTTGATAAGTAAATGATAAAAAAAAATAAAGCTAAGAAAAAGACTGTAGGGAGAAGTTCTGATTTGCTAGTTAGATGTTGACACGGTTTGGAAACAAGACAGACTCCACTTGTATTGTTGAAATCCTGTGAACAATAGGAAATCAGTGGGAGAAAAGGCTGAGGGTTTCAAGTCTATAAAATAAAGGAAAAGCAAACTTCCATTGTCAGGGGTGTGTGTCATGGTGTTGCCCTTGCTCAGAATAACCACCCTTTCTGAACCTTGGTGAAGTGGAGGGAAGGGATTGCCAGATTTCCAGAGCGTGTCTGGGAGTAGTTTTGGTAGATGTGCTACTTTGCAAACTTTGCTAGCTCTTGATTCCACGTGAATTTCAGGTGTTGGTTAAGTTGGGGTGTAGGTGTTTCCCATTGGTGGCTATTGATGCACAACACTGTACTTTCAGTTCTTTAGTAGGTGACTGAAGTGTGGCTTGACTAGTGTTATCCCTCCTTACTGAATTCCAGGTTAAGTCTTTTTTTTTTTTTTGAGACAGGATTTCTCTGTGCCTTTCCTGGAACTCACTCTGTAGCCCAGGTGGGCTTCGAACTCAGAGATTTGTCTGCTTCTGCCTCCCGAGTGCTGGGATTAAAGGCGTGCGCCACCACTGCCCGGCCAGGTTAAGTCTTTTATTTAGTGTTAAGACAGTACTAACATTTTACCAATAGACTGTAAATTTTAACTTAGCCCTTATTGGTGAAATTATTAAGGCCACTCCACGTAGTTAAAAGGAGATTTATTTAATGATGTAACTTACAAATTAAGGGATAGGTAGGTCGCGGGGTCTGGGGAAGGTGTATCGCAGTCCAGCGGTGTTCTCTGGAGCTCTGCTTGGCCCACCTTCACCGTCCAGGGTCCCGGAACAGAGAGAGCGCTGGCCCATCCAGATCTCGGGTCCCCCGGCGCCTCCCTTGGCCCCGCCTTGTAGGCGTGACAGTTGCCAAAGTCTCAATGGGGGTTGGAACTTCCAGATCAAAGCTGGAATGGCTACCCACTACAAGCCCTATCTTTCCTCACACTCAGTAAGAAAGCACCTTATCGCTCGCTGTTAAAGTGTTTGTTGGTGTGTGTGTGTGTGTGTGTGTGTGTGTGTAGTAGAGATTGAAGGCGGGGCCGTGTTGCCAGACTTGTTACCGTTTTAAAATTTTGGGACGCAGCCCTGCTAAGTTACTAGGCAAGGCTTGAGTTTTCCATCCTCTTGCCTCAGCCTCCCCGTGCTTGGATTCCACGCAGGTTGTTATCAACAAGCACGCCTTCCACTAACTTTGGCCTTAAGTGTTTACGTTTGTTCTTCGTGTGTGCATGTTTGAGTGTCCGTGGGTGCAGGCGTGTGTATGCCTGTGTACAGTTGTGTGCGGAGCCATGTCAAGTGTCTCAGTTGCTTTCCACTTTAATTTTTGAGACGTTGGACCCATAGGTTTGGCTAGACTGGCTAGCCAGTGAGCTCCAGGGGTCCACCTGCTGTCCTCTCCTGCCAGCATCGGGGTTACAGAAGGCCCCAGGGCTCAGCTTTTACATGGGAGCCGGGGATCTGAACCTAGACCCCGACGAAGGTTTGGCAAGCACTTTACCTTTTTGATTTCTGCCTCATTAAATTTATGTCATTAATTTAGGGTGTGCTGGGGGTCTCTTTTAATCCCAGTCCCGTGGATCTCTGTGGGTCTTGATAACAGCTTCCAAGACAGCAGGGCTACAGAGAGAGAGACCCTGTCCCCAAAACAAAGAACACAAAAACCTCAAAGTACCTACTTATTTAGTTTTAATGGGTGATGGAGTGGTAGGTGGAAACAAAGTTGAAGAAACTCATGAAAGGTGGAATTTCCTGTCTTTGCACATGGTTCCTGGGACCAGGTTTAAGTCTCCAGAAGCCAGAGCCCAGCTAGGCTTCCTTCCCACACAGGTCTTCCCTTTCTAGAATACACAATTGAAATAATATTATTTTACTCTTAGTGATTCTGCAAGTTAGGCAAGATGTTTAAGCACAAGGTGGTTCACATTTCAGTATGATTAATCAATAATTGACAGATTTGCCTGTCATTTGAAGTGTGTGTGAAGAGGCGTTCCATTTAGAGTGACCCCTTGTCTTTTCAATAAACCAGTTTCTGTCTTTCTCTCTGTAATTAATTGTGTAGCAAAAGTCAATGAATATGGGCTTAGCAAAGAGTGAATCTTTGCTCCCAGGGGAAATGACAGGTTAGGTAGCACTGAAGCCTTGGTTCGCAGCATTTCTGTTGGCTGATTTATATATGTGCCTTGTCCTGTGTGTATCTGTGTTTAAAGACACCTTATTTAATGTATATTAGTGATTCATTAGCGTGTCATTATCTCTTAACTCAGGCCAGCATAAAGATTATCTAACACACCATTTCTTTGTAAGGAAATCATGGCCTTCCTTGAACTTGTGAACTCTAGACCTCACTGTGCCCAGGAGCCATTTTAAACACAGAAATCACCTATTAAAAAGCAAACGAGAAAAGATGACACTACACTCGCCATGGGAAGAACACTTACAGTGTAAGGGTCAAAATAAGGGCATGCACGTCAAGGGATTCAGTTTTTCACCCTTGTGCCTACCTGTAAATGACCTTCAAAGTGCCGTGAGTAGTGACCGAAGGATTAAATTTTAGCAAGTAGACAAAGTGACAGATACAGAATGCTGAAATGACGGTCAGCTGTTGTCATACATACATGTGCATGGATTTGTATGCTATAGTTACAATGGAAGCATTTTCAGGGGTATTCTTTTATATGTATTGAACTGTTGGCGTAGTTTCCTCTGTGAAACAGTTTGTATTATTGTCTTTTTTTAGTTAAAAGCACACATATGCCTGAAAGTGCTTGCAGCTTTCCCCCTTTTCAATTTCTGTTCAGAGTTAAGAGGACTGATACCATAGTGAGCCATTTTCATGTGTTTTCTCAAAAATGATTCAGTTTCAGGAGTTGAACTAATCCCGAGTTTGGGCTTTAAGATGAGGCGGAGTCATATGCCAATGTTAGCTTGGAACAGCATCCACTTATCAAACACAAATCATTTAGTGTAGTCTTTAAGCTTTTATTAAAAGGTAGGACTGAGCTGGGCGGTGGTGGCGCATGCCTTTAGTCCCCGCACTCGGGAGGCTGAGCCAGGCGGATCTCTGTGAGTTCGAGGCCAACCTGGTCTACAGAGTGAGTTCCAGGAAAGGTGCAAAGCTACACAGAGAAACCCTGTCTCGAAAAAAAAACAAAAAAAAAAAACCAAAAATAAAAAAAACCCAAAAAAACAAAAAACAAACAAACAAAAAAACCAAAAAAAGGTAGGACTGGTTTGTTGTTCATCTGTACTTCCAAAAGAAGGGTTTTAATGCTACTGTAGGGAATTGGAAAGCAGGAAGAATGCTTGTTTGTTCAGTTTTGTGTCTTCGGAACAGGGTCTCCTGTAGTCCTGGCTGACCTCAAATCTTGCTGTATCTCTGAGGTTCATTTTGAACTCTTGCCCACACCTCCCAGAGTGCTGGGATCGCAGACATGTGCCACACACTGTGCTCAAGAAGTTGGTTCTCCGTGATGGTTGTTTTTCTCCATCTCCATATTTAGTGTACAGAAGGGCCTTAAAGAGGGGATGCCGAGAGTAGAACACTGGGGATGTGCTGAGGTCATCTCAAGGTTCCAGGGCTGGATAGGAATGGCACTGAGAGTGTGCTGAGAGAGGGTAAGACTTACTGATACGGTTATGCAAGTTCCTGCCGCTGTCAGTAATTGGAGGCAGGAGCTTAGAATGCTGTAAATGTAACTTAGTTTTCTCAGCGTTAACTGGAGTGAGTGAATGTAGGCTGAGTATTAACTGCTCCTCATTGTTAACTTTATAGGAAAGTAGTAACACATGTACATTTAATTTTGCAGTCAAGTCAGTAGGGAAATGATGACTTAAAGTATCCTCTTTGCAGAAATCATCTATGGCTACCCAGTGACTTAAGTTAATGTTCCCTAGAGAGGACAGGAAGGACGGAGGGAGAATTTCACAGAAACACCAGCGGTTG